AGAGGGGATGTGGGGTGGGCTGGGGACAGGTTGGGGACATCACGGAGGGGATCTGCGATGGGTTGGGGACATCAGAGAGGGGACGTGGGATGGGTTGGGGTCATCAGAAGAGGAACAGGTTAGGGACGTTGGGAACGGTGGGGATGTGGGGTGGATTGGGGACATCACGGAGGGGATCGGATGGGTTGGGGACATCAGGAGAGGGGCAGTGGGACAGGTTGGGGACATCGCAGAGGGGATCTGGGATGGGTTGGGGACATTGAGGGGCATGGTGGGGAATGTGGGGTGGGTTGGGGACAGGTTGGGGACATTGTGGAGGGGACATAGGCACAGAAAAAGGACAGTGGGACAGGTTGGGGACCCTGAGGGGCATGGTGGGGACATGGGATGGGTTGGGGACATGGGGACAGGTGGGGGACATTGTGGAGGGGGCATGGGTTGGGGACATCAGAAAAGGGATGGTGGGACAGGTTGGGGACTTGGAAGTGCGAGGTGGGATAGCTTGGGGACATCGGGGACGTGGGATGCTTGAGGATTGGGGACAGGTTGGGGACGTCGCGGAGGGGGTCTGGGATGGGTCGGGGACATCAGAGGGATTGGGGACGTGGCGGAGGGGACGTGGGCTGAGTTGAGGACATAGCGGAGGGGACAGTGGGACAGGTTGGGGATGTTGTGGAGGGGTTGGGAACATGGGACTAGCATGTGAGGATGAGTTGGGGACATCACAGAGGGGATGTGGGACGTGTTGGTGACAGGAGGTGGACATCAAGGGGTTGGGGACATCAGAGTGGTGACAAGTTGGGAACACCAAGGAAGGGTTGGGGACCAGGGGACGTCGGGGACACCAGAACAGGGGATGTGGGGATGGATTTGGGACACGGGGGATGTTGGCGAGAGGACACGGGGTGCCCTGGGGACCAGGATGTCCTGGGGACATCAGAGAAGGGACCCTTCACCCTGGGGACACGGGAGTCACAGCTGGCCGGATGTCCCCATCCCCAGGGAGCTGTGCTGAGGTGTAGCAGGGACGGGGACACGCTGGGAGGGGATGG